CCCCCGGGGGGCCCCCCCCCCCCCCCAAGGGGGAACCCCCCCCAAAAAACCCCCCCCACCCCCGGGCCCGGGGGGGGGCCCCCACAGGGGGGGGGGGCCAAAAAGGGGGGGGGGGGGAGGGGCCCCCGGGGGCCCCCCGGGGGGGGGGGGGGGGGGGGGGGGCGGTAAGGGGTTGTGGCATATCCCCTGCAGGAGACCGACTTTCAAGCTCCATTGCTTCTAGTGGTGCCGATTCCGAAAGCTTGGTTTTGGAGAGATCTCGTCGGGGTTGGTTGTTACATGTACCTCTAGGTTATGAAGAGCAGTTGAGTTTTGAAAGGTGGTCTGCTCTTGTAGGGGGTGTGGGATGACCCGCATGCACAACGGGTATCAAGCGCCCATCAACGCGTACGACAAAAGCCCAAAAGCACGGCCTTGGCGATAGGTTTGGTGGGTGAAAGGTTACCAGCGCCATTTGAGGCAACCCGAGAGCAGCAGTCACACCAAACGTCAGTGTAGCATCTCGGATGCTACCGGTATGCCCAGCTACTGCTGTGAACTGTTGGTACCCTCTGAAACTTTGGAATGTGGATCATGATAGACCTGCAGAGTTGTTCACGTCGAGTTGAACAAGCACTACCACAAGAGTTGCAGTAGTGCCTCTACCGTTTCCTGGATACCCTACACAGCGACAGCCCCCCACATGTACCCGGTTGAAGACAGGGCCAAGTACCGCCATGCCGCCGTTGTTCCGTCTGCTCGTCAGGCTCATTCTACGTGACCTCCTGCGGTACTACTGCTGCTCCTGGGGTACTACTGCTGATGCCATGTACCACACCGCGAACCCTTGAGTCTGTGTCGGACTGCATTGGTGGCTTTCACATGGTTTGGAGACAGGACGCGCAGTCGGAGACTACCGCCCAGACTACACACACGCCAAGCTTTGTGATGCCAACAGCAAACGATCGATCGTACCACTACTGAACGAGAAGCTTACGCAGCATGTACGTATCTAGGCACAGCGAGAGACATGAAGGTTATGTAGGTATCTGCACCGACTGTTCGCCATAGAGCTGTGGACAGCGATCCACGATCCGCAACAGCTGAACTTTGCCGCTGTTTCTTGAGATGGTCTGCGACAAATCACTCCAAACCCACAGGCGAGGCCATACTGCTCACCTTCCCAGCATCCGCCTCATCGTCTGACGGCTCCCCAAAATCCATCCTGCTGGCAGTCTAGCGTGTGCTGATGGTGGTGTCGCTCAGAGCAGCGTGCCGCGTCAAAAATGCGGCCTAATTACGGTCTGGATATCGCGGAGCCCCCACATGCAGCGCATCCCGCGACACACACGGCGGTGAACAGCAGCTACACACAGCTGGTCGATTGATACACTGAAAGAAATCAACACAGCTGATCGGTTAAGAAAAATACGGGCCAGGGACATGGATGAAGATGACGGAAACAACAACAACAACAACAACAACAGCGGTGGGGATGTGTCCGACGACTTGGAGATGACGCAGGAAACCACGCAGCCAAGCCAGACACAATCTCAGACACAAGAGCAGAGCCAGCAGTCGCAACAAGAAGAAGGGGGTGGCGGAGATGAAGGCGATGGTAGTGCAAAAGCGGGGGCTAAAGGAGGAGGAGAGGGGGGGGGCAAGCAACAGAAAGAGGTGCGGGTGTAGTAAATGGTTGATTGGTCCGCGTTTTTTTCAAATTTCTTCGATCGCGCGCGGTGCTGTTTGAAATGTCGAGTACCAGTGAAAACTGCTGCTGCATTGGCGAGGCGCGAGCCATCCGTAAGAGTTACAAATTATCATTTCCCGGGCGACGATGACAGTGGCACGTTGTCTCCCCCGAGTTCGTTAGTGCCTGGTCTCAATCACTCCCGTTTTGTCGCAAACACCGCACGGACATGTGCGTGAGAACAAAACGGCGTGCTTTGTACCTACAGCAGTAGCCTCCTCTTGCTTGGATTAGTAGTGGTACTGACTCGCTGATCCCTTCAATACTGCCCCCCCCTCCCCCCCCCCGCCCCATCTCTCCCTCTCTCTCTCCCTCTCCCTCTCTCTCTCTCTCTCTCTCTCTCTCTCTGTCTCTCTGTCTGTCTCTCTGTCTCTCTCTCTGTCTCTCTCTCTGTCTCTCTGTCTCTCTGTGTGTGTCTCTCTCCCCCCCTCTCTGTCTGTCTCTCTCTCCCTGAAGAAATTGGATGAGGTGCCGCTGATAGTCCCTCCGGCGGTGTGCAAGGACGCCAAGGCGTCGCTGTTGGTGCACCTCAGGGACGAAGCGCTCAACTTCGCTGGTGAGACAGACACAGGCACACACACACACAGGCGGACACGGACTGCACGTAAACACCACAACTCTGCTGTCGTTAGTACCACCCAGCAGACTTGTGTGTACTATAGGAGACCGCACAAGGCTGGCGTACCATCCAGAACTACTCTCCTCCTTTCTCCCTGTTTTTATGACAGGTGACACCGGCGCGATCGGGCGAATCTCGGTAGGGGGCAAGAAGAAGGGCAGGGGGCTTACGTTCGACCTCAAAGGTACGCTAGCAGCCTACGTTGCAGACCAGATAGCAGCAGCACCGAGGGGGGTGCGAGGTTCTACGGGCCCTGATTGTTACGTTTTTTCTACCAGAATCGCGATGTGCAGTCTGTTGGACCCCCTCCCTCCCTCCCTCCCGCCACCCCCTGACTCCTGTTCTCCTCCCTTCACAGGGCAGCAGTTTAGCGGACAGATCATTCCTTCTGCCACGGTAATGGTGGTCGGGATTGGGAAAACGGAGGCCAAGGTGGAGGGCCTGTTCAGCGAGGTCTGCCGCCTGGACTACAAGGGGAACGTGTTCGACGCCATGGGCGGGGAGGTGCTTAAAGGTGCGCTTACAAGCGTGGCACAGCAGTGATGAACGGTGTCAACGGTCGCGGTGCGTGTAGGACGCGGTTCTCACGCACACCGTGGAGCGGAGAATGTGCAACCCTCTCCCCCCTCACGTCCCCTAGACTTGGAGCTACGCCTATAAGTAGCATCCTCTCGACGAGAATACTGCTGTTAATCCACCCCCACCCCCCATCCTCTACGTATTTATGCACGGCACCTTCCCGTACCCAGGAGAGATGGACGACTCATACAAGTTCGAAGAAGAGGATGTAAACGCAAGAGGAGGTGCCGGGGGGGATGGAGATGGGGGGGGGCGGGACAAGGGGGAAGAAGGGAAATCCCCAAAATTGACCCGAAAAAAGTCCTTCGGCAAGGGAAGAGGTGGCTCGTCTTCCGGGGCTTCGTCGGGAAAGAGAGGCGGAGGGGCCAAGGGTTCGGTTAGCAAGAAGGCGAAAAAATAGTAACGAGAGCGACGCGGTTTATCTTTTCATTTAACTTGTTGGGCGCGGTTGTCTCTTGTTTAAGTTTTTTAGGCCCTCGTATGTGTTCTACAATTGTATGCATTTTTCTTTGTTGTGCTGTTTTTTACGGGAAGTAGCGTCAATGTGCAGTTAGTTTTGCCTTACGTCGGCAGAACCGTTAGCATGGCAAGAGTTTTCGGCGAGAAAATTGTTTTTTTGCTCTGAGAGGGGGGTGTCCATGCTTGTACTTAAAAGCTGTGCTGTGTGTTGTATCTGTGCGGAACATTAATGGTGAACGTTACGGTGTGTTAGAGCAACGATTGTCTGTGAGCAAGGTATCTAGTGCATGTCTAGCGGCTCTTCGTTCGCCGGAGGGCATGGGGGCGGGACTACTGGTTACCGCCTGGGTGAGCAAGGGGAGCTAGAGTGGAGGCGGACGGCGGTGGCTTTAGTTGGCAGCACACCAAATGTAAACCCAACATCTGATCTGGTCCTTCCCTCCTCTTTTGTTGGCTAGTGCCATGGTGTCATCTTGTCCCGACGAACGCGGCACGAACCCTCACGGCCGTTTATTTTTCGCCGCAAAAGTTATACACACAAGTGGGACAGTTTTTTTTCAACTGTCTACATACCGTTGTGTTGGTTGTTTCTTGTGCAGCAGCTGACGTCGAGGGCATCACCGAATCGGTGCTGGCACTGCCGTCGCCCAGCGAAGGCCACCATGCAGGAAGCGGGAACGGTTTAGCGAATGAACACAGGCATTTCTGAAATACGCTGTCATCTACTTCTTCCATTCAGGAACACTTTATGTAGGACTTTTTTGATTTTGGCAAGATTGCTCTTTTCGTCGACACGTCGAGATCAGCAGCAACGTGGACTACGCCGCCATTTGCGATGCGTACATTGGTTCAGACGCCACAACGGCCGTAGCATTCCCGCAGCATCATCTCCCCACCAATCATGGGTGCGAGCGTCGCTACTATTGCTGTACAAAGCACTTGAGGCAAACATCACCAAGGTTTGGCACGTTTAGGAACCATCAGGGTCTCGCAACGTTTCTTGAAATACTCATTGAAGGGGGGCGAACAAGGGAGTCGCTTGTCGAGAACGGAAAAGACTAAATGTTTCTAT